TTCAAAACATAAGAGAGAAGTGAAATGCATAAATATGTCATCATATATATTTACATACTATATATGAGGCCCCTAGAACCATAAGGAATGGAAAAAAATTCACTGTTGATAACTCGTTCTCAAGTTGCCCCCCTTAAAAATCAAATTGTCCCCCTGTGGGGCCCCCGCTGGGAACCACGGACCTAGACAATGATTCAATCAATCACGACTAAGCAATGAAACCACAGTAACAACTTTGTACTTGGGTGGTGAGCTTCCCCGGTTGGCAATACTCTACACGTGGCCATGTATCAGGCAGGGAGGAGGTAACACTGTCAAGGGGAGCAGATGCCTGAAGCCCCTCATTTGGACCCTCCTAGATGCTGTCCTATGCATCTCTTCCTTTGGTTATAATCTGTGTCTTCCTCTTGTAATCAATGTGACCATGAGTATAACAGCTTTCAGTGAGTTCTGTGAGGATTTCCAGAGAATTCTTCTGTGTTAACAGGGGTACTGCCCTGGTTTGCATTACATCTCTAACATGACGACTCCTCTTCTTGTAACACATGCTACACTAAGGAATGTGTGTTAGGAAAAACCCAACGTGGTGATAGCTTCTTTGGATAATGCAGACATTAGTGAATGCAGAGAATTATGCCACCCCAATAATCTGGTCTACCTTCATAATATTCATTTATGTAATTTTACTCCAAGATCATAGAGCAGTGGTTCTCAACTTGTGGGTCACGACCCCTTTGGGGGATGAACAACCCTTTCACAGGGGTCGCCTAAGACCATCAGAAAACACATATATAATTACATATTGTTTTTGTGATTAATCACTATGCTTTAATTATGTTCAATTTGTAACAATGAAAATATATCCTGCATATCAGATATTTACATTACTATTCATAACAGTAGCAAAATGACAGTTATAAAGTAGCAATGAAAATAATTTTATGGTTGGGGGTCACCACAACATGAGGAACTGTATTAAAGGGTCGTGGCATTAGGAAGGTTGAGAACCACTCATAGAGTCTATTTCTAAAAGTACATACACCAGTTTTTTTAACAGCAAAGGATTAGTAAACAAACAAATGAACCCAATATTCGGTACAGTCTGAATTTGCTTGTGTTTAGTGTGGAAAAGAATACAAGTATCTGGGTGAAAATACTTCTTAACCCCCAAGACCCAACATTTCCACTAATGAGAAGTGGATTGATTGAGGTTCAAGGAAGAAAATGATTAAGTAAACCAAGGAGCTTGAGAAAGTTTTTCTATTTTTGTTAAAAAAAAAAAGCTGTGAAAATCAAATTTCTCAAGAATATTTTACTCAAAAGCACAAATGACTTTGTCTTCTACTTGACTGCAATCACTCTGAGAGAACTGTGGTGATTAAGTATGATGGCCCCTGAGGGGTTATCAATGAATAATTTTTTGTGATTCCTGTTTGCTTATCTATTTTTTCTATTGAATTTATGGAGTGACATTGGTCAATGAAATTATGTAGTTTTCATGTGTACAATTCCATAATACATCATCTTTGTACTGATATTGTATATTGTACTGTATGTTCGCCACCCCAAGTCAAGTCTCCTTCCATCACCATTTATCCCCGTATAACCTCCCCCCCAACCCCTTTCCCTCTCATAATCACCATACTGCTGTCTGTCTCTATGAGGTTTTTTGGTTTTGTTTGTGTTTTTGCTTAATTCCTTCACCTTTTTCACCTAACCTGGCAACCCCTCTCACCTCTGACAGCTGTTAGTACGTTCTCTATGAGTCTGTCTCAATTTTTCCCAAATAAATGATGACATTTTTTGTAAAGACAAAGTGCATTTGAACAATTACAAAGGTATTTCACTGAAGGGGCTTTAGAAGGTGAATGCATTTGTTCATTAAAAAAAAAACAACCAATCAGTCCTAGCCGGTTTGGCTCAGTGGATAGAGTGTTGTCCTATGGACCGAAGGGTCCCAGGTTCGATTCCGGTGCCGGGGCACATGCTCAGGTTGTGGGCTCAATCCCCAGTAGGGCGCATGAAGGCGGAAGCCAATCAATGATTCTCTCTCATTATTGATAAGCCAATCAGATTCTCTCTCATTATTGATGTTTCTATCCCTTTCCTTTTCTCTGAAATCAATAAAAATATATTTTTAAAAAATCAATGAAAACAAACATGTGTACTAAAGAAAAATTACTATTACCTAAAATAGTAAATGAAGCATCTCCACTTAAAAATGTTTAATACTTTTATCTCAATGAAACCAATGGAAATTTTATTTAACTACCAACCAGATCTTATTCTAGTGATTTTATCAACTTCCATCAACACTTTACAACTTACCTTCCACATGCTATCTGGGTTACTCTATTCCCAAGGAGCTCAGCCACCAAACAGGGTTTTAACTCATTCTGTGTTGAATTGTGACCAAGCTGCCCATGTTTTCCAGCACCAAAAGTAAACAGGAGCCCATCCTAAGGAAAGGGAAGTTCAAATCAGATTCTAGAGAAAGGCGACACAGAAGTTGTATTGATCGGGGCAAAGGCACCATCCTATCTGATGAAGAGGGAATATGCTAATTGACCCTCACACCATTGCAAAGATGGTGGTGCCCACAGCCAATAAGGAGGGAATATGCTAATTGACTGCCACACCCTCAAAGATGGCAGAGCCCACAGTCACAAGATGGTGGCACCCAGTCCCTT